TGAAAATAATGACAATTTATAATTTATTAAAGGGTCTCAAGGCTGGGAAGGTGGGGGAGGGAGGGGAAAAGAGCTGATATCCAGGGCTCAAGTAGAAAGAAAATGTTTTGAAAATGATGATAGCAACATGTATAAATGAGCTTATAAAATTGATGTTTGGATTGTTGTGAAAGCTCTAAAAGCTCTTAATAAAATTATTTATTTAAAAAAAGAGAGATGTTTTATGTGGGGCAGCATTCATTAACAGATTCCAATGTTTCAGTGATTTAGGAAGACATTTGCTTCGGTTTTTTAAAAAGTTTTCAGGTAGCCTTAACCAGTGGTGGCCTTAAAATAATTTAACAACCAGTTAATTGCCCTAATGACTATTTTAAGTACAAAAAAGATATACTGAAAGGTAGCTTATTACTTCATAGGGTTAATATTTAAATAAGAACAATAAAAGAAGTACACAAAACTAGATTATGTTATAAGAAGGAGTTTTAAAGTATTAATGAAAAATATTAAATAATACATGACAAAAACAATAAAACTACTATTTAATATATTTCCATATTACTTCTTGCTTGGCAATTTGCAAGATTCTTCACTTTAGTCTAAGCATCATCAACTGTGATTTATCCTTCACCATCTTTTCAGTGTGGGAGTCAGATCCCATTCTTTGAGAGGGAAGCCAATTAGACAATAGTCATTGTGCATGATATATTAGAAACCAGTGACTTCTCTTCTCTGAACATATTATGTTCATCTTTGAAAAAACCCTTTTGGCCTCTGCTGAATTTATGGCAATTGTTCCGACAATTTTTTTAGCTTTTTGAACACTTTTGGGAATTTCATAATTCACTCATAATATCTCATGAGAATTTGAAATATAACATAACCCAGCAAGGTAGGCCATGGTTGCTCTACAATCTGACAAGGAAGTCCCCAACCATGCTTACCTGCCAGCAAAGAAGGCCCGAGCTGTCCCATGACCCAGAGAGGAAGGCCACAGCCATCCCTGCATCCAAACAAGGCAACATTCCCCAGAAGCCCTCTCATCATTAACAGCAGCAACCTGATGCTGTAGTCCATTGAAATCAACAACAACAACAACAACAACAAGAAGCAAGAAAAACAGGCACAAACAAGTGAATAGCACACATATCTAAAGGAATATTCTGAAGAAAAGGCCCCAGAGTTACCAGAAATAGAATCGAGAAGAATTATATTCAGGTATTGTCAAGGATGGAGGAAATGTTCAAGAGAACAATAGAAAGAATAGTAAACTGGAAACCCTACACCACATAGATTTCCAGAATATAAATAACAAGATAACAGAATTAGACAGCATGGTAGACGAGCAGAGTAATGGAACCGAAGAAATGGAAAGCCAAATTCTTGAGCTGAAAGACAATTCCCTTGCTTACAACCAATGAAAGAAATAATCAACGCAAAGAACATAGGTCTCCAAAGCGAGCATAGGCATCCAAAGAATGCCTAAGAATGATGTGGGATCCAGAAGGCTATGGATGACAATGGGAGCCCAAGATCTATTAGTGGGAACTACATAGGAAATACGCCTCTAGTGATCTCTCTCTATCATAATTGAGTGAAGGGAGAAAAGTGGTTTTTAAAAATGCATTGGAGAGATGAGTATAGTATATCAAAAGGATAAACCTGACTTGAAAAGTTAAAACCTTGTCAGTTGACTTCCCCTCTGATGCATGCTGGACCTGATCTGGTTTTGAACATTTTCTGTACTTTTGCTTTGTTTTGTTTCTGCTTGTCCATATTAGGGCTTATCTCAGAGGTGTTATGTCATTGGCGGTCACCTTCTTGAAGTTGTGTTATATGTTTTACTGTTTTTCAATATATGAAACCCAGGATTGAAGAGCCTATAGGGATAGCAACTAGAATTAAGGGTTTTGGTGGGGGGCACTGGGGAGTGAAAGGGAGACGATGTCAAGGAGTCCAGGAAAGAAAAGAATGTTTGGAAACTGATTGTGGTAGCAATTGTACAATACTGCTTGACATGATTGAACTATGGAATAATATGATACATGTATTAACTTCCACATAACAATAAATTAAAAAAAAAGAATTATGTGGGGCACTATCATGAAGAACAACCGATGTCTCATTGGGATTGTACAGCAGGAAGAAATTTAAAAAACAAAACAACCTACAGAAAATAGTATAAGAAATCATGAAGAAGGGAGAGGAAAAAATGAGGAGCTGATACCAAGGGCTCAAGGGATTAATGAACCACACTAGCATCAGTCTCTATACCTCAAGATATCAGGACAAGATGGTGCTGGGCAACCCCTACCCACAAGAGTTCTGGAAATGATCACTTTAGAAGGTCTTGTAAAGAGTGGGAGAAAATATGGGGAAACACTCCCCCTCAAAATCTGAGAAGAGTGTAGGCTTACTGCTTGGATAGACTGGTGGAATTCCCAAGAATATGGCTCTCTTGTCCTGTCTGCAACTACACTCATCTACTTGGCTCAATTTTCAGCCAAACAATAGCTGGGCCTATATTGGGGAAAATAAAAATAGTGTGGTACTCACACCTTAGAACGAGGAGCCATTAAAATTTTTTTTTTTAAAGGCAACATCTACCCAAGGGCAATGTTCAGGTTAGGTAGGTAGGAAGGAGGCATAGAAACAGGAAACACCTGGAGGAAGTGGGCTAAGTGATGATACATTGAAGGAATTACAATGGATGAGTGGATAGAAAAAAAGAAAACAATGTATAATTTTTACCTGTTCAAGTACATGATGTCAAAAGAGTTTTACACTTTTGAAGGTATTCTTTGTATTACACAGATGAGAGAAAACTCAATACACTTAAGAGAAATGAGAAAACAATACATAACATCTCCCATTCAAGGACATAAGGCAAAATTATTTTACATATTACCAAAGTACACCTTTATTACACAGACAGAACATTCCCAGTATTTTTGTATGAATGAGGATAGAGTGTCCAGTTTCATGTTATGAAAAGATTTGTACATAATTTCAAAGTACACTGTGTATTACAAGAATAAGAAAGTCCTCAATAGATTATGTGAATGAGAAAATAATGTACATTTTCTCCCATTCTAGCACACGAAGTCAAAAGAGTTCAACAGCAACAACAAAATAATAATCAATTGTTTGGCTTCTTGGTGGTATAGTGGTTACATGTTGGGCTATGTTGATCTTGCAATCCTCCGGGTCAGTAGTTCGAAAGAGCCAGCTCCTCTGAGGGAGAAAGACTGGGCTTTCTACTCCCGTTAATAGTCACAGGCTCAGAAGCTCACAGGCAAGTTCTACCCTGTCCTATTGGGAAACTATGAGTCAGCCTGGACTTGATGGCAGTGAGTTTTATTGCTTCTTGGATGTCCAGGCTTGAGTGTAATGTGCATCAGTTTCGAGAAGTTTCTTGAAGTCAGATAACATCGCACTCCCTATGTTGGACCCAAATGAAGACAGTTAAGAGATAAAGAGTGGTAAAGCAATTAGCCAAAAGCCCAACCCGGGAAGTAGGAAGTCACAGCAGGTTACAAGCCCATGTTAACCAGATTCATAAGCCCTTCATCCCACACTTGACTGCCTCCCACATCCCACAGCTGTGGCAGTCCATGTCTTTATCTAGGCTCCCGACCTTGAGAAAGTCCTAAGGGGAGTTTGGTTCTGCCCCAGTAGGATTAAAACTGACAGGAAGTCAAACTGGAGATACATTTTGGTTAGTATTTATTCTCCCAGGTCTTGCCCCGTAGGACCTTACCCATTAGCACTTTGTCCATTAGCACCTTGAATCCACCCTCTAGGGGAAGTGAGTACTTGTATTCCAGTTGAAGAAAATCCTCATGTTTTCCCCCGTGAAAACTAAAAAGAGCCTCTCAGCGTTGACACTTTATTTTTTTCCGTTTCCATTTTTAGTTCACTGAAATGAGTGATCCTTGGGGAGCAGAATGACTTGGAAGTCTCTGTCTAGCCTCAAAGGTGACTTAAACACCTTTCTACTTACTGGTTTCTAGTGATAGATAGGAAATGAGGAATCTTAAATTCAGAGACACTCGGGGGACTGCAGGAGAACACCCCCCCCCCGCCCCCCCGGCCCCCACGCAAGCAGGGAACTACTTACTCAGTAAATACTCTGCTGTGTCCTGTTCATAATCAGCATCTTCAGGGAAGTGATCAATCTTCTTGCACACTCCTCGGAAAGCCCCTGTGGAGACAAATGGGATCCTGAGCCAGGGTAGAGGACAGAGCTCCCAGACCCCATCTGGGTCTCTACTCCCACAATGAAGATCCCTCTTGTGGTTGTTAGAGTTGTAATAGATTGGCCCACCCGCTCCTTCCTCTGAGGCACAAGAAAGGGATTAGTAAAGGCAAAACCAAACCAAACCAACACTGAAGGTTGAAATTTCCTGTTTCCTAGAGTTTGTGTGACGTTGAGACTTAGAAAGATGAAGATCTATAAAGTATGTACATGCACTGTGAGGGCTGTCTTATATTATCTTTCCCCACTCCCAATCAATGAAGGGAAAAGGAGGTGGAATCTAACTACATTTATTTATCTTCCTATTTTACAGGCAAGGCAACTAGTCATACCCATTTTGCTTGAGATCGACAAAAACAAAAACGTTTATGGGTGGTTCCTAGTGTGATGGGGAGCACACTGGACTGCTAACCACAAGGTCAGCAGTTCAAAACTAGCCACTGTTCCTCTGTAGAGCGATGAGCCTTTCTACTCCTGTAAAGAGTTACAGTTCTCGGAAACCCACAGGGGCGGTTCTACTCTGTCCTATAGGGTCACTATGAGTCGGAATCATCGCAGCAGCAGTGAGGTAGTTGGGGTTGGGAGGGAGGGGAAACAAACAAGTGTGTCCATGCCGAGGGGGCTCTGAGTTACTGCTGCTAGTGGTGGAATCATGTGGAAAAGGAAAGTTGTACATGATGAACGTGATCAATGTCATTGAATTGTACAGGTGAAAATCATTGAATTGGCAAATGTTTTATTATACAGTTAACCCTTTAAAATATGCATTTGAGGTGCACAGGGACACTTATATGCAGCATTTTCTCAATAGTGGACCTTTATATGATCAGGCACTGAGACTAAAGCAAAGGAGAATTGTTACCATCTATGAAGGATAATATAATAAAACCTCTTCAAAAAAATTCCAAACTATAGAATTAAGTTTAACTCAGTTCTACTGAATTAAAATGTTCTTTTTATCCAATTGCCTGCCTGAGCACCTATGTTTATTTCCCTGACATGCTCCTGTTACTCAGGTATGTTAATTGCTAAAAGCAATACAACTAGAAGGTAATTTCCCTGCTGGGTTACATTGGGATGTGAAGGAAATACTCCGCTGAATACGCTAAGGAAAGGAATATGAACACAATTGTCTTTTGTGTGAGATAGCCAAAAGAATATTTCCTCATGAAAAAGATGTCGTGTGAAATTTGCTTGGAAGGGTCTTGAAGTTGGCTTTTCTGAACTCTCCCAGATCACTCGAAATGTTTGATTAACAAGTTATTTTAGGGAAATAGGACCCTGCGCCCACATGAATCTTCAGCGATCGTGAGCTGCCTGCTAAAGCTGTGTGCACTTCCACCAGTGATCCTTAATGATCCCACCTGAAAGCTATAAGCTGTGATTAAGAACCCTTACCATCAGTTCCTAGAACCAATGACTGTAACTCTCTCTATCCAATTATCCAATAGATTCTATTGAATAGAATTCTATTGAATCGAAACTCGGTTCCCCACTCCTAATGCATCCTGTTTGTGACCTCAACCAAAACATTAACCAAGTGACTTTATTTTAATTTTTGTTTCACAAGCCATATCTATGTGAGAAAATGTTAATTGGAGTAGACTGGTGACTTCTTGCATCCAGAGATAATGATTTTTTCCTTTTTAAGAATAAATCCCCTTAAATTCTGTTTTTATGAATTGAGTGAATCTTTCACAACAGCATACCATACAGAAACATTGAGAAACAGAAACTCAAAAAGAGCCAGACAGAAATCACAATGAATTTCCATACTTACACCAAGCTTGCCTCACTCTCCTGAAGCCTCTTCCATCTCTTGCACCTCTTCCACCCCTGAGACAACAAAACCATCACCTCATTGTTCTCCTCCACAGCTTACTCAATGTGAAAATGACTAACCTTGTCACCAGACAACCTAAACTTATGGAACTGATGAATATTGTATGATACTGTAATGTATCTCCTTATTGCTTCCCTAACAGCATTTTCTTTTCTGTAGCTTACTTTAGTGTAACCATACAGTATATACTGCATAAAACATACCAAATCTGTGTTAATCAACTGCTTATGCTATCAATCAAGTTCTGGTCAACCGTTATCTATTAGTTCAGTTTTGAGGAGTCAAGAGTTATTTGTGGACTTTGTGAAAAGAGTTGTTCAATCGTCAGTTATGTGTGTGTGTGACACACATATATTATTGTAACTAAATGTTTTCTAGACATCACATAAGTAAGTGGTAGTGCCAGAATTCTGAACCTGAATCCTCCCATTCAGCAGTAGCACACTCTCCTAAAGAATGCTCCTATCTGACCACAGGACGCCTCATGTTTCTCTCCCCTCATCCAGAATCACAGTTCACTGTCCCTTGCTGTGTGAATCAGTCTTTTGGGAGTGACAAAATTGGTGCTGGTACATCTTGGGCGGGAGGAAGATGTCAACCTTTTGCCTTTTTCTTTCATCTACATCAGCTTGACTTAACTCATTGTGGGTGTTGGATCATCAGTAGGTGTTTGTTAACTAGCTAGTTAACCAACTCCTGGGATAGTTGGGTTCTGCCAGTTCTTATAAATGACCAACAGTTTAGGAACTTCTCACCACAACATAGGCTTACTTATCATTGTCCTTGTCCTGGTCTAGGAAGGTATGTTAGGGATCTGAGGCAGTGAAGTATTGTGACAAGTAGCCAAGATACAGAATCTGACAGAGATGGACTTAGATTCCAGAGATGTTATTGTAAGAATTAAAGAAGGTCAAGTATATGAAGACGCGATCTTTTCTGATAAGCTCTGTTAGTGGTGGAGTTAGTTACTGATGAGTCAATTTCAACTCATGGTCACCTCATGTATCAGAGCAGAAGTGTGCTATATAGGTTTTCAAGGCTGTAAACTTTGGGAATCAGATCACCATACCTGTCTTTCAAAGAATCTCTGGGTGGGTTTGAACCAGTAACCATTTGACTATTTGTGTCTCTCAGAAATTCCTTACAAAACTCTAGTAGGCACATCGTAATAATTATTGGTGCTTGTTAAGTGCTTCCAATTGGCCAAACCCAGAGTTATAACTTTATATTTCTTTTCCTATTTAAAATTGTCCTTTAATCTAGGCAGTAAGGACTATTAATATTAACATTTGATAATGAAACAAAGGAAAATCACAGAGGAGTTTGAGGTTTCACAGCTGGTAAGTTGCAGAATTGCTACTTGAATGTAGACTGCAAAGTGTATGTTTTTTTTAATCATTATACTACGAATGCTGTTGTTAGGTGCCATCTAGGCTCATTGTCTAGGCCAGAAGTTCTCAACCTGTGGGTCGTGACCCCTTTGGGGTTGAAGGACCCTTTCACAGGGATCGCCTGATTCATAACAGTAGCAAAATTACAGCTATGAGGTAGCAACGAAAACAATTTTATGGTTTGGGGTCACCACAACATGAGGAACTGTATCAAGGGGCCGTGGCAGTAAGAAGGTTGAGAACCACTGGTCTCAACTCAAAGCAACCCTAGGTACATCAGAAGGAAATACTGCCTGAGCCTGTAGCATGCTCACAGTCTTCACGTTTGCACACACTTCTCCATTCACTGTGTCAATTATCTCCTTGAGGGTCTTCCCTTTTTGCACTGACCCTTCACTTTTCGAAGTATGATGTCCTTTTCCAGGGACAGTCCCACTTGATACACTCTGACTAGCAGGTGTTAGTATTAGGTCTATTAGTAAAGTGCTATGTATGTAATCTGTAAACAGGGCTCCAAGCCACCTGACTTTGACAGTGGATGAGACAGACTATGTAGAGTGTCCCCTTAGTTCTGATGCTCTACTCAGCAGGCAAAGGGACTCAGAACAAAGGAGGGAGATCAGTTCTGGATAAAACTCAAGACAATATATAGAAGAAAGATGAACCCATTACTTCTCTAATATTTAGAAACAGGCCTCCATTTTCCTTATTCAGATAATACAGTTTCATCCCTCTCATTGGCTGCCCCAACAGATAACAAATCTTAATAAGTAACACCTCGAGCATTTAATATCTCAGATGCCATTCTAAGCACTTTTCATGCCGGAGCCTCATTGGTTTATAAAATAATCTTATGTGGAACTTGATATTATCATCGGTTTTACCGAAGAGGAAATTTAAACTAATAAATGGCTTGCCCAAGACCACAGCTTAGAAATGGTCCATTCCCAGTGCAGATGTGACTGACTCAAAGACCAAAGCTGTTAAGAACTGTATCATGAGTTACGTTCTCTCTAAGAGTTACCAGAATTTTAAGCAATATCTTTTACCATGTCGCTCGATGATCATTATGAGGTTCATCCAGTGCTGTTCAATGTGACAATTTGCTTCCGAGGGGTTTCCATCACCTATGGTTCTCCCATGAGATACATCAGGAGCTACAGAGCACAGCAAGGGTAGTGGGGGTGGGATGATCTTTGTATTAGCTATTTTATATACTTTACAGAAGGTTTAATAGGAAGGAAAGGCTACTTGAAGATGAAATATGAATACCATTAAAGCAGAACACTTAGAATCATTGTGGAAATAAGCAACTACGTGCCTGCATATGCTTATCAAATGAAGCTATACAAGGTGGTGTTTTTTTGGACAGTTTGAAACTAGGACTTTGAATCAACAACATCAGTAATTGCTGGACATAGCGTTATCAGCTTTTAGTAGTTTCAAGTAGGAGATGGTCCACATCCAAGAAGCCTTGTGGAGCAGTTCTACTCTGTTCTACAGGGTTGATATGAGCCAGACTCTACCCACTCCCAATAGGGTAGAGTTTGGGGTTTGGTGTTTGGTCCTTTAAGAAAACTTTTGCTGAGCCCTGGTCTAAAGGTCTTTGTCCTGTGTAGGAAAGTGGAAAGCTAAGAGAAGTGTGGGTACTCCTGGGAAAGAGAACACAGTCTTGGTTGGCGCTTCTAAAGCAGACAATGTCAAGCTTCCAG